TATAGCTTTGATAACACTTTAAGTGAACCAAAACTATTTTGATAGGGGGTGGAAGGGATAGAACCTCTCTAAAATGTTATTGCTGTCTGGATCCAATTCCTCATCATCTTAGTTGGGCTCTTTCACCTCACTTTCTATCCCATGGACCATAGTTAGAAGTATGAGATGAGAGGTCCCTTTCTTAAATATGTTTAATTACTCAATATATTCTATTATAATTTTTTTTTTCATATAAATAATTGTTCCCAGAACTAAAGCACCTGACAGAGGACAAGGGGCATGTTCCATGGCTGCTGTTAAGAATGTTAGCGCAAGAGATTTGAACAGTGTGTGACAAAACTACTATTATTCCATTGCTGATTAAACTGTAAAAGCAGCATGAATTTTATAAACAAGGGCAAGTTCTGCATGGTTTCCGAATGCAATTTGTTTTGATATGGGGAATAGTCACTTTCGAAATAACTCAAAAAATCAACACTGTAGTAACATTTCTTATTGTATAGCAATTTTTCAGAAAGTTAAAATAGCTCTTGCTGCAAATGTAAAAAAAAACCTCATCTGTGCCATAATTAATGACTAAAGCTAAAAGACATTTAAAGTCATTATCATCTAGATAGAATCCACAGATCTTCTGTTAGCCAATATAAATCTTTCAATTGTATGATGATCATAAATGGTCTTAGTCTATAACAACTGCAAGACTTTACAATCAATAATTATTTACTTCATTATACAACTAATCTGCCACATATGCAATTCAGCAAAAAAGCAAAAAAGCAATGCAATCAAGATAACAGAATCAGCACTCAAACTGCCAATTACCAACTACTGCAGTTTTTTTTATATATATATATTTTCATTAAATGCTATAACTACATTACACTCTTGTATAGAAACTTGTTCTACAGAAAGCTACAAGTACAAGAAAAAAAAAAGTGAATCATCAAAAAGAGACCTTTCCCAAGAAGAACATTTAGACTCTGTTATGGAACTGTACAGACTTTCAACATTACATGCAGTTGAAGAGACAGAAAGGTAAAATAAAAAATAGTGCATTCATCATAAACAGTAATATATTAACACTTTAAGGTAACAGAAAAAGCAGTGCTGATGTGAAAAGTGCAGTAATCAACAGGACCCAGACTTAAAGTGACACTAAAGCTTCTATTTTTTGTTTTGTTTTTTAACAACAAACATGTCTATACTTACCTGCTCTGTGCAGTGATTTTGCACACAATAGCCTCGATCCTCTTTTTTTTGGGTCCTGCCAACACTCCTGACTCCTCCCCCTCAATTAGTGCCCCCAGGTAAAACCGCTTGCCCTGGGGGCATCACTGCATGCTTGTCCCTGAGCCACTGCGCTATGCATCCATAAGACACACTTAGCAGCGGCTCGGCCCCACTCGGAAGAGTCTCCAGACAGCAGAGGCTGTAGAGAATGTCGCTAGATCAAAGGGGGCTCAGGTAAGGATTGGGGGGAGCTGTGGGGGCCACTGCACACAGAAGGTTTTTTACCTTCATGGATAGAATACATGAAGATAAAAACCTTAAGCCTTTAGAACCACTTTAAGCTTACTATAGACAAACCTGTGAAAAAAGTATTTGTTCTGTTCCTATGACTTCTGAACATAATAATTATTGTTTTTTTTGTCTGCCTTATAGGATAGCACTTACTTGTGATTTAAAAAAAAAAGTAGGAAGCAGTGTAATTTGATCTATGTGAAAAATTGCAAGTCATGGACTACAAAAATGATGCTCACCATATGGTGTCAATCTGTATCTTACCTCTTAATATGATGCAACAGAGCATAGCTGTGAGCCTCCAAAACCCATATACACTGCAATACTTTTGAACTTTTCCTAGCACATTCCAGATTTCCACATGTGGTTGTTCAGGTCCATGGAAAAAGGCTGTCTAAATGTACTTTCTAGTAAGTAAATACCGGCACACTGTATTGCCATATATTACAATTTGGCACCATTTGGGGCCTAGTTTGTACTTATGGTATTATTTCTGCCTGTACCTTGACAGGTATGCATTTTATGTCCTGGAGTTAATTTTCTGACCTACCCTAAAAATGCTTGAATCTGCAATAAAATGCACGTTATGTTCCTTCCAATAAGCAAACATATTTTGACTCGAAGAAAATTATATACAAGAGGCTACATTTAGGTGTCCGGTTATGACACAGAGAATAGCTGCGATTCAGAGGATCGCAGCTATTCTTTGGTCATTCACAGTTTATGACACTCAGGAGATCAGCGGAGAACATGTTCAGCTCTCCACTGGAGATCTGTGTTCTCCCTCCAGATTCTCCAGCCCAGAGCTGGAGAATCGGAGGAAACGCAAACTAAGCAGCGATCATTTACCTCTGTTTAGTAAACTGATCTTTTACTGTAATCTCGCGAGATTAAAGAAAAAGCACCCATTTTCCAGCATTTGTAGACCGTTCTCCCTTCGTTCGGAGAACTGATCTACACCGCTTCATAAAAGGCATTCACAGGAGAACTGTGTTCTCCGAGAATTCCGGAGAACTGAGCAGCGATCATTTACCACTGGTTCATAAATGGACACCTAAATACAATTTTTTAAATACTAAGCCTTCAACAACAATAATGGAGTTTCTTTACGTGTTTAATGAAAAGGAATTTGGTATTAGTACATTAAGAGAAGAAAGAAATTATAGCTTAGTTGTGTGCTGGTTACAAAGTAACATGCAAGTGGGTATTGTACTTTATGGTTTATAAATGTAGTTCTTCAGTTATTTTAGCTTTGAAAACATTTTATATGAAATGAAAGTAGCAAAGGTTTAGCCTAATAAGGACAAACTTCAGTGGTTTTAGGAGGTCAATGCCTCATTTATTAAAGAACAGTGTTAGTGAATAACCAATTAGAACCAGCCTGCTGCCTCTTAGGATCAATACAATATTGATCATCACTTTGCTATATTTCCTAAGATATACTTGAAATCTAATTCAAGAATTCAAATGGTACAGATGGGTATAGCGCCATCATAAAGCCCAATTCTTTAAGACAAGTTTGCAGGGAATGGAAAATAATTAAAGGCACAGTAGAAGTAGAAGATAATATCAAAGTAACGGTTCCGCTGTCTTCAGATTCTATAAAGACAGGGTGTGTGACCTAATAGCATGACAAACACAAGTGAATGCACACATTCCTGCTACAGGCTGCTTGATCTGAGTATTGAGCACTTGGTGTGGTGCTATGCTTGTTCATTTAGTTGCATTGGAATCTTGGATTCCCTCCTCTATCTCCTCTGGCTTGGACCATTCAAAGTAGAGAGATTCTAAGACTATTTTGTGCACTGACTACGGTTACTATACTCTAAAACAGGGGTCTTGAATTCAAATTTACAGAGGTACGGTCAGCAAAACTTACTTCCAGCAGAAGTCCGAACCTCGTTAGCAGTATAACACAGCACAGTCCCCCGGTACATTATGATCTTTAGCATCCCCTTTACATCATGGCGCCCTTTAACAAAACACAGCATCTCCTAACACAACACAGCACCCCTTAACACAACACAGCGCCCCTAACACAACACAGCGCCCCTTAACATAACACAGCGCCCCTAACACAACACAGTGCCCCTAACACAACACAGTGCCCCTAACACAGCAAATATATAGCAAAGATGGGATGTCTCTTTGCTGGATAGGGATGTCTCATTGCTGGATGGGGATGTCTCTTCTTGGACTGGGCTGTCTCTTTGCTGGATTGGGATGTCTCTTTGCTGGACCCAACTGGACAAAGAGACAGCCCAGTCCAGCAAAGAGACATTGCCATTCAGCAAAGAGACAGCCCACCCAGCAAAGAGACAGCCTGCCCAGCAAAGAGACAGCCCACCCAGCAAAGAGAAAGCTCACCCAGCAAAGAGAAAGCTCACCCAGCAAAGAGAAAGCCCACCCAGCAAAGAAACAGTTCATCCAGCAAAGAGACAACTCATCCAGCAAAGAGACAGCAGTCCAGCAAAGAGACAGCCCAGTCTAGCAAAGAGACAGCCTGTCCAGCAGAGAAAGCTCATCCACAGCCGCTACAGACCTGTCACAGTGTGCTGGCAGGTGAAGAAGGAAGGCCGCCATTGTCCCTTCATTGCAGAGGCCAGCCGAGGAGGAGTCCCTGTGTCAGCAGCGCTTCCTGCTTGTTACTGGAGCCGCTCCTCCCTGCTTTAGCCACACAGCGGGAGGTGAGTGGCGACCGTGGTCTGTATGAGCCCAGACCAGACTGCGGTCGCCACTTACCTACCTCTGTAAGGCCCGGTCATCATAAGTCCAGAGGCCCCGAGGGAGGGCACCCGATGGTGGCAGTGGCGTGGCTGCAGTCCAGATGGGACTGTCCCTCGGTCCAGTTCCAGACCCCGGTCCGCCATTTAGTGACTACTGCTCTAAAAGACTAAAACAAAGCTAACAAGAAGTATGTAATTACAAACATTTCTGAGGGTGAAGCTTTCAGGCACATCTCTGATGCAATTGTTTTTGGTTCTTAGGCACTGGAGACACAATTGTGTTAACTGCACTCTTTACAGCAAGGTAGGTAAAAACTGCTCTTGTAAGGTTTGTAAGGACTGTATATCACCATCAAGGTTTTTGGCTGTGATTGTCATCCAAGAGTGACTGCTTTGGACCCTGCTTTTCTTGTTCTTTTGAATGTGAGCTTTTGGCTACTAAGAGAGATGCCAAAAATAAGTGAAAAGGAGTCTAAGCAGAGATAAATTTAAAATGCAGTGCAGTGTAGCATGGCACATCCATTATATTTTAAAATGTAGATAAATGCAAATAAGTAAGAAATCATTTTTATTAGGCATGACCTAAAAACATTCAGGAAATAATTTCAGTTTTGGAAGGGAGAATAAGTGGCAGAGAGGATGTGGTATTTTCTTTAAAACAAAACATCATCTTGGACAATGCCAATACTGATAAAATGGACGATATTAAAAAACTGTGTAAGAATAGCATCAGAATTGTTGGAATTCTTTAACCACTTCCAGTCCAGACACTTTTACCTCCTTCCTGACCAGGGCAATTTTCAGCTTTCAGCGCTATCACACTTTGAATGGCAATTGCGTGGTCATGCAACACTGTACCCATATGAATTTTTTACCATTTTTTTGAGACAGATAAAACTTTATTTTGGTGGTATTTATTCACCGCTGGGATTTTTATTTTTTTTTTTGCTATGTAAATGAAAATGTCTAAAAATTTTGAAAAAAATTGTTTCTTATAAAATTTTTCAAATAAATAATATTTCATCATAAATCTTGGCCAAAATTTATTCTGTTATCTTTTTAGTAAAAAAAAAATAAGCCAAATTAGTTTATAACCAAAAATTATAATTTTTAAACATTTTTTTTACATTTTTATTTTTTTCTATATTATTATTTATTTATTTTATTTATTTTTTATATACTGTCACCCTAGCAGTACAGTGTCACCATGGTGACACTGTACTACTTTTGGGGGGTGATGAAGATTTTTTTTTTTTTTACACGGATTGCTTTTACACCCATATAGGATGTAAAAATAATCATTTCTCTTTCTCTCTGTCTGTATTCCTGCAGCCATTGAGAACTACTGAGTGAGCTGTGATTGGTCACAGCTTGTCACATGGTACAAGGCTGTTGTGAATAGCCTTGTACCATGTGACCTCTGTGATCATTCACAGATTTCACACGTAGTAAGCAATGATGTCAGAAGTGACATCTTGCTTACTACTTTGCATGTGATCACTGATTGGCCAATCAGTGATGACATGATCGGGACCTCGTACAGAGGTCCCGTCCGACAATCGGTGTCCGGAGGACACAGCGGGCACCAGATCGCGGTGCTGCGCGCTTCCGGGGAGCGCGCACAAGCAGGGTGCGGGGAGGCCGTTTATAAACGGCCACCCAACCCTGCAGTGCCACCGTCCGGCCGGTTAAAAAAAAAAATTGAAGGGGTGGTATAAAAGAGTATCATGAAAGATGGTTTTTTCTCTGTGTTTGCAGTAGAGAGGGCCCTTTGCCTTCAGACCCACCTTCTCCAACCAGGAGAATGCTAAATTCCTAATCAGATTAATTATCAGAACAGATACCATTTTGCAGAGAGCACACTTGTCTTGAGGATAATATTACAATAAAAGGTGCAAAGATATCATCATATCCAAGTTTTTCTAGAGATACAAACAAAAAGGGTTACCGTAAGTTCCACGAAATTAAAAAATAGCTGAAAGTGTTATATGTCATGTTTTATTCTGCATTGTTGATAACTGTTGCTAGGGGAGAAACACATTTTTATACACCAGCTTTTGCTGCTTCATGGAATAAAAAAAATGTAAAACATTTATAAGTTTGATCTTGTTGTTCTGCACTGGATTTTGCTTTTTGGAGGTGGGGGACCAGGGAGTACAGGATGCACAGAGTAGAGACTGACTGCCTCCTGGAGTGAAGTTGCTAATTCAGGGCTAAGTTTTTTCCTTATGTTAGGCTGGAAGAGGTGCATTTATAAAGGTGTATTCTAGATTCTACACTTTTGTATTTGGACTGTACAGTGGCTTAGGGGTTAGCACTTCTGCCTCATGGAACTGGGTACCTTGGTTCAAATTCTGCCAGGCTACTATCTGCATGTAGTTTGTGTGCTCTCCCTGTGCTTGGGCCGAACAAGTATGTGCATGTATGTATGCACATCAGATAGAGATCATAGATTGTAAGCTCCTTTATGGCAGGGAGTGATGTTAATGCACAGTGCTCCAAAAAGTGTTAGTGCTATATTAATGCCTGAAATAAGCAATATAAAAAATATTTATAATCCCCCATCATGTTCTAGGGAAGTGATGAAAATCCTTATGACTTTCTTATTGTTATAAGAGATTTTACCGACATTATAATGCCTTAAATACACAGATATTATCCTCCTGGGATTGAGTCTCCTATCTGTCTTTCTACTTTTGGCAAGTTACTGCAGGAGCTTAGATTAATAGATATATAGTGTAGAATGCATTTTAGAGAAAAATAGATAGATTTAGCAGTTGGCTCTTCTAACTTCAGACAATTAATTCATAAGATTAATCAGAAACTCCCCTATGTCTATTGGTAATAAAGTTTAAAAGTAATAATAAAGATTTTCCTGGGCTTTTCTATTCAATCTGACTTGATCTGAATGATTTTTTGGATTTGACTACTCTACGGTCTCTTTTTTGGTAGTTTAGGGCACCTTGAAAGTGTTTCTCCAATGACTACTTTGAATAATAATCCCTCTACTATTTTTTTTTTTTAAGAAGAAGAAGAAGAAGAAGTGGGAAGAAGCACAGAATTTAAGCTACAAAATTGCATTTAAGAGGCTGAACAGTTTTTTTTCAAAGCAGTCTTGTTTTGAAGAAGGAGATAGAAAAGATAAATTTGTTGGCAACCATACCTTGGACACAGCAGTCGTATATAGGGAATGGAAAGGTGAATTCAATTTTCCACCTCTGGTATAGTAACATTCTACCAATTTTATAGAAATGTCTTTAAAAGGGCATATTCAGATGAACTAGGTGACTATTTAGAACAGATAACAACACCAGTTTTGTAGTTGAGGGATACTGGGGGACAAAGACTACTTGGATTTGTCTTTTACTTTGAAGAAGCTGGAAAACACTGAAGAAACTACTTAATAATAAAACCCCTTGGGCACTGGTCTTCTCGCAGAGTTACATACAAAGAAATTCTTTGCAATCACTATTAGATACTATTACTGTGTCTTTTGAACTCTTATCACCACCAGCCTCTATTTATGAGTCAATACTGGTGGCTATAACAAAAACTGATAAGGATGTCACCCATCCAGATTCATGCCATCCTACGTCTTTTTGTACAGTAGATGAATTAGGGATTATTGTTGTAGTACGTCTTTATTGCTACCTGTTGAATCCTTTAACCAGTTCTGCCACACCAATTAAGATGGTTACATTTTTTAAATATTTAGTTTTGATCATTTCTACCAGTTCTAAGACGTATTAATGTGGATCCACTTACTACAAAAATTTGTTGGGACATGGCTGTATGGCAACCGGAAGTGAAGTGGCACGTTGGGCCGGAAGTATATTTTTTTCATACTGTCACAAGTCAGTGTCCCTGATCACCTCCACACCAGTTATTTGGTAATGCTGTACTACACTGGTGATAGTATGTTAAAATAAAATGGTCAAATTTTTTTTTTTCAATTTCTTTATTTTCTTAAAAAAATTATGAAAAACTCACCATGCCTCTTACTAAATACCGCAGACTGTCTGCTTTCCAAAAAGGGGTAATTTTAGGGATAGCTGTACTGTCCTGACATTTTTGGGCCTCAATAAATGAGATAGGCTGTCAGTACATCAGGAATAATCAATTTTCAGATCTATACAGTACATATCATAGTTTGCTCTATAGCTTTCCTACAGATTAAATAATATACACTAATGTGGATTATTTTCACCAAAGAAAGGTAGCAGTATACATTTTGGCCTAAATTTATGAAGAACAATTATTTATTTTCAAAATTTTTATAACAGAAATAAAAAATAAAAAAACCCAGTGGTGATTAAATATCACCAAAATAAAGCTCTAGTTGTGTGAACAAAATGATAAAATTTTTGTTTGGGTACAGTGTTGCATGACCGCCGATCATGAGAATGTGAGGCATATAAATCCAGTCAGTAAGTGTCTTTTCGGGGGTCTGGTGGCACTGAGCACTTGGTGTGGTGTGTATATGTATATATATATATATATATATATATATATATAGCATCAAAACTGTGAACTATTGGATTTTCATTTGGCCTAGCGCACATTAAGACACTGAGTGGACTTTTGTTTCATTTTATTTATTTATACCTATTTGATATTTAAGGTCTTTGTCATATTATCACTGTTTTTAATGCAAGATAGTGCATACTAATGTGGAGGAAGCATATGGTGGGTTTTTATTCATAAGCTTTAAAGTGGCAGCTATACATGTGAATTGGTCATTTCTGTGGCGTGGAGGAAACATTATTGGGCATAGGCTGCCTGTGCACAATATTTTATTTGTATCCACTCACTGTCAGGTTTCTGACATAATGTAATTTATGGTGGAAACTTCCTCTGTCTATAGCTGGTAGAGTCAACCCTATAAAGATGATCTGAATCTCTCAATTGTATTTAATAATTTACCAGTGTATATTTTAAAAAAATAATCTTACAATAACTAATGTTATCTTTACAGATCTTATATAAAGGTGAAAAAAAAAAACTCAGAATATGTTAGAAATATTACAGTATCCAACTGATTAGGGTACAACAGCTACCCCCAGTCCATGAATATGTTATATCACTAGGTAAATGTAATATTTTGCAGGCTGGGGTAATGGGGGATTCACCATCTGTATCAGTTGATACGGTATGTGTGGTAGAGGCAGGGGTGGACTGACAACTCATGGGGCCCCCGGGCAATAAAGGATCATGGGGCCCCTGTGTCCTTACCCACACTCAGACCACACCCAAAAAAGCCTCTGAAAAGGTGCCAGGGGCATCTCATGGGGCCCCCTACTGACCCCGGGCCCTCGGGCACTGCCAGAGCGCCCGAATGGTCAGTCCGCCCCTGGGTAGAGGTAAACCCATTATTTGGTATGGAGAGGGGAGCTTTTGTTTCCTATTTTCCAGTTATTAAATAAATTTGGAGATTAGTTAAGGAACTGTTAAGAATAAAGGGGTTCACTTCTTTTTACGCCTATTTGCTGTAAATATACAGTATGTATAAGGAACTGGCAAAGCTGGAGGAATTTGTCATCTGGAAACATCAGAGTATTTTAAGATTTGAGCAACTGTATAGTAATCATTACCTAAAAACTTTTCAACAGGCTATTAGAGTTCTCTACACCTAAAACAAATATCGGTATTTAAAAATGTATAATGCAATAGGTTCCCAGGATAAGACAATACATATAAGATTTTATAAGATCACAATGGTCATGAAATGGGCATCCGCTTCCACTAGGGGCAGAGTGGCTAACCAGGGCTAGTTGTGGCACAAAGCAGATAGTAGCAAAAACCAGAGAGTGGACTCAAAGTTTTTGAAATGCCTGTTTGCTTAGCAGTGACGAGAGCCCTGAAAAGGGTTGACACGCTGAATCTAAAGTACTGTCTGGTCTTCACCAGGGCTCCTAGAGGTGGAGTTGTTACATTGAAGGTCATACCCAGGTTGCATGCAGTACATGACAATGCCTGGCCTCATGTGGCAAGTGTATGCAGGAAGTTCCTGGAGGACGAAGGAATTGATACCATTGAATAGCCCCCATGCTTGTCTGACCTAAATCCAACACCTCTGGGATATCATGTTTTTCGGTCCATCTGACGCCACCAGGTTGCACCTCAGACTGTCCAGGAACTCAACAATGCCCTGGTCCAGACCCAGGACACCATCCATTGTCTCATTAGGAGCAT